TCATACTAGGTTATCAGATGATTCGAAAGATTGTGAAACCCTCACACCAAACCACCTGCTCTTGCTGAGAGCAGGACCGAAACTTCCACCAGGAATATTTGTCAAGGAGGACTGTTACGTGAGAAAGCGTTGGCGCCAAGCACAATATCTTGCTGATGTGTTTTGGCATCGATGGATAAAAGAGTATTTATCGGCTCTTCAGGAGAGACAAAAATGGCGCAAAGCAAGAGATAATGTCAAGACAGGCAATGTTGTTTTGGTTCATGATCTATCAGCTCCAAGATGTTCATGGCCTCTTGTTCAGGTTGTGGAAGTATTTAGAACCACCTCAGATAATATGGTTCACTCAGTGAAGTTAAAAACATCAACTGGGATGCTAGTAAGACCAATTACGAAGATTGTTTGCCTTGAAATTTCTGGAAAAGACTAGACATTGAACAGTAGCAATATCTGTGTCTGACAGTATGTCGATTGTTATTGTGTTCTTGTTTACAGAGGGGCAGAATAATCCCCAGTGTTGACTTGAAGGGTAGTCTACCCCTAATGACAGTCATACTTGTATTTATTGTTTACATTGCTTTGTAATTTAGATGGTATTCAGAGTAATGTTATAAAGGCTCAAATATTCGCCTTTAAGGGGCCGTGTTGCTGCCGGTTCGCAACACAGTTAGATATGTGGCGCCCTCTAGTGGCCCTTTCGGTTTGTTCAAAGTTGACTTTTTACCTTTTGAAGATCACAAGTTTTCACTCTACCGCGGTATTTGATTTTGACTCGTCACTAACACTCAATTCGTCATTCAATTCACGCTATTCCATGGTCAAGACACAAACGTAAGTGTGATCTTATTTCCTGTTACTGTAATAGTGACATCCTTCAGAATTACTAATTTGTTGATGAGTGAATTCAGCGAGGTTTCTAAATGCAATTTTACAAGAGGCGTCGTAGATCGACATGATGTGGAAAATTCCGTGAAACTTTATTTGTTTTTTATCGATGATTGTGCAACCAATGCCTTAATTAGCGATTTATGCGTGTCTGGTTTAATAATCTGATTCATCAATTTATGGTTATGTCTCAATATTCGCAACCTTATTTCGATTATGTGCAATTTTGTTTTACTCGATGCTTATCACGTGACCACTATCTCCACGTGTGATGTAATTGACATGTACAATTGATGTATCGCAACACCTACTTCTGTATTTTTATTGTTCGCTATTATTGGTCTGTAAGCCGCGAATATTACCAATGTGTGAATCATATTTTATTGTCTAAAATTATGTATTTACATTATACTTGTACATTATTTATACCTTTGTAATTTCTTTATTTATTTTCTTTTTTATTCATTTTACAGTTGAAACCATTGTCATTGTCACTGCCAATATTATATTGTAATCGACCTCGTTTGTCTACTAGATGTGATTAAAGTGATCAATGCGTTGATAGTTGTGTTTTATCCAACCAATTGTGTTGCGTCAATATTCACCCTCAACCGAACAGCAGGAGCTGTTACAAATATATGTAAGTATCTTAAAAAATAGTATACAGATACCATGGTAATGCTGAAATACGAAGTTGTCCCTTTCTGTTTAGATCAATGCCGTCTGGGGAAACTGAGCGACTTTCCGGCGACAATAGTTATGATCATTTTCATTTGATAGCGTTAATGAAAGAACAAGTCCCGAAGCTCCATTTTTTGGGTTTGATGTGTTTAGTGTCACATACCCACTCATGAATAAACAATGACATCATAAATAATTAATAGCAGTCAAATGCCCACAGATGCGTCCAGTCGGGATTTCTTTTTGTGGTCACTTTAGTTTCCGTGATTACGCAAAAAAAAACTTAAAACAATTATTTCTTTTTGTAAAACAAAAAAGAAGTCCCGCTTTTACCAGTCTAGGGTATGCACTGTAAAACATTTTACATTCCCAAAAAATGAGGCAGTGAAAACAACAAATTTGTAGCACTGGAGTTGTATTGGGATCAATAAATGTCACTCTAAAATATATATATTTTTTTGTACTTTAATAACAGAGAAACAAAACTTTCCTGGGCACTGAACTTTGACCTAGATTGTCCTAACTTGCTAAAATGAAACTTATAATTCTTCATTTCTCATTTCAGGATGTTGAAGGATGATAAAAAGGGGCGAGACCAGGTAAGTGAATTATTTTAAGTCTATTGTTCTGTGCACATTGCAGTATGTTTGCATATATTGATGCCAGGAGCTGACAGGTTACCAAAGTAATTTTTTTTTTCATTTTGCAAAAGCTTCAAAATTGAGTGGTTAACTGTTTGCTAGAATCATCACAGTTATCACACAGCTCATGTTTAACAATATTATTCAAAATTGAATAGGTAATGTTGTTTACTTATCAACCCACAGATTGCCATTCCTGCAGTGGCTGTTTATCCTTCAAAAAAAACATCAACTTTGTTAACCTGCCAGGGCCTATCACAATCTTCAACTTTCCTGCATGTGTAGATGTCATCATTTTTTGTTTGCATATTGACTACCAAATAATATACAGTGTAGCAGTTTTATTTACATTGTGTAATATCCGTCATTTCTGTACCCATCTGAATTCAAGTTGTTCTAATCTCAGTGAGAATACTGTATTGTATGTTGGATTGATACTGTAGAATACTTTATTTTCGCTTTGAAATAAATTTTGCTATTTTCGCTGAAGGAATGTTTCAAGTGAAAATAAAATTCATATATATAAATATATCTTTTTCCCTATATTTTACATTCAAAACGTCAAAAATCAGTGAAATTTATTCCATACAAGACGCCTGAAAAATGATTTCAGTGAAATTTAATTACAGATAAAATAAAGTATTTTACAGTACACAACTATATGACCTATTTCCTATGACCATAGAAATCTCCGTCATTTATGTAAGTGTATGTACCGTATTTTCTTTATTAGTAGCGCTTACACTTTACATACATGATAGAGCTATGTCTATGGTCAAAATGATTCGTATATCGGCCCAGTGTACAAATACGTACAACTGTTCGTTTCTGTTTCACATGCCCTTACAATAGAGCAAATGTCATTCTTTCAAAATCCTAAATTTATTCTCTCAGTTTAAAATCTTTTAACTAAAGAAAATTTAAAATATTTCGAGAACTTTTTTCTATTCACTCGTCATTTTCGTGTAAAGCATTGAAATAAGAACACTTGATGATTGAGATTATTGTACACTTGTTAAACATGAGTTGTTGTAGATTTTTTAGTTTGTGCAATACTCACCCCAAACACTCGCTTTGTTTTCTTGTTTTCACTTCCATGCTCATATTTCTATGTTTGCGGTTTATTTTAGTTGGACGTAAGTAACTCATTATGTAGGGTAACTAATCAAGGGATCACTAGAGATGTGTGCTCTCTATATAATATCGGTCAAAACTGACAAATTGGGAAATATTTGTGGTGAATCATAGTGTTGTGTCGATTGAACAAGTTTTGTGTGGCTGTAAAATATCACTTTAATTTTTGGAATTAGAGGGTCTGTTATATCTTGTTGGAATTATTAAGAACCATTAGCTGTGTTTTTGGTGCATTTATTCAAATTTTACATGATTGCTAGATGACTTATTCAGCCAATCAAAACTATTGGTGGAAAATTATACCAAGTACAACAGTACATTGAAATAGTTGCTTTAGTTATTTGTAATTTGGTACAAAGAAAATCACATTTGATAAACAAAATTAGTGTGAAAACAAAGGAATCAGATATCATAATATTTTTGTTTGCTTCTTCAGAAGTCACCTACAATTTTTTTGAACACTTTTCTCAGCAGTCAACAACTCGACTTGGTTTATATTTTTCCAATTTGATTTAAGATTTCCACAAAATCAGTTCCGTTAGAGGGTGCACTTACTGATAGTGATATTAATTGACCGTTGATGCTAGATGTAACGTTATTTTGACCTGAGATAGCACCTAGACTTACGATAGAGTGATAACATACTGTCACGAAGCTAAACAACTTCAAAACTAATCTTAGTACGTATGTCTGTCAGACAAATTGATATAGAGAGCGCACCACTCTGATGGCTAATCCCGACGTGTGTCACTTGTATTTCAAGTAAAGATAATACACTGCTGAATTAGATACATGTATTTCCAAAACTGTTCACGGTACAATTTAACTTTTTCACCACCAGACATTTTATTGCACTTTTATACTTTTCAATATTTCTGGAAATGAACCCTAAATTTGGAGCCAAGAGACGGAATTTTAGTAAATTTTCAGTTTTTACTTGGCTATTTTTTGCCCAATCATCGGAAGGGAAAGAGCTGACTATGAATGTGACTATTTTGTTAATTTGTAATGAAAAAAAGAAATTGGTGGTAAAAAGGTTAACCAACCTAGGATTTTTCTCTATTTTATAATGAACGACCTTTGGGTCAAACTGTCTACTCAATCAACTAGTTCATCTGGCTTGTAGAAATTACCGTATTTGTCTTCAGTTAAGCGCCACCTTCAATTAGGCGCCAGTGCCACAAAAACTTTGTATTTTACACCTCAATTAAGCGCCAGACAAAGTTGAAATTTTGGCACGTAATGATCGTGAATTGGGCGCCGGCGGATCGACTACCGGTTACCGGTTCGTAGTGATGGACGCGATCGCGGAAGTCCCTCGCTGTTACTGTACGAATGGCTTTTATGTAAAAAAAATTGGTTTTGTTTCTAACAATTTTTAAGAAATCGGTCTATAATCTCTTGAAACATGTCTTTTTAGTCTACTGTAGAAAATATCAGCGTGGTTTTTAATTTCGCAGTAAGTCCATAAAAACGAAATTAAAACAACGCGAAAATGTTCTGTTTCAAATGCGCTGTTGTCACAGTAAACAGTGTTAAATTATTCTTTAAATGCTCAGTTTACTTTCCAAAAATAACTAATTTCTTGATTTGAAAAAAAAATCATGCAGTTTTTCCCACCAAAATCAAAGCCAAAATATCGCAAACATTGGCAAATCACTTCCGCATTGCGTTCATACATTATTTAAATGAGCTATGGTAATTTGATCACGTTGGCATCATCCAGCATTTTGATTGGTTAATTAACGACTTGACCTATCTGGTCAAAAAACGCGTTCCAGGTCAAGTCCGAGACAGGAAGCATGGCAGACATCGAATCGCGCCGAGCGTTTACATGCGACCAGAATCATTCGCTTACGATGAAATTAAGTTGAATTTTACTTGCATTTTATTTTTTGTACGTTATTATAACTACTACTGAGTAATAATCGTAACCGTGGAATGCAGCATGACCGGATTTTGCTACCGTGATCATTGACTACTAAGCGTTGAATTTGTGTTTGTTTTATTTTTCTGTTGATTGTACGGCAAACTGTGAATGTTTTCTAAAGAATGATATTTTTTGTATAACTTTCTAAACTGTCTGAAAACAGGTCATTTACTCAGTATTTAAAATAAAGGCTACAGTGACTAAGCGTCAGACTGTAATGTAAAATATTGTCAATAATCTATCACCAGAATGGAGCAAAAACAATGGCTTGTAACACAATTACCGGTACTAGAACTTGAAATAAGCGCCATTTGAAACAAAGTTGCTCAAATTTAACCACAAATAAGCGCCACCATGACATGAAAGTGTAACAAAGTGGCGCCTAATTGAAGACAAATACGGTATGACTTTTTTGTTGAAACTTGCCAGCAAGCAATATTAATTGCAAAAAAAAAAAAATTTACCCTTACTTCTAATGTTCAGGATGGTGTTACAAACCATAACAGTGCCATTGCAAACAATTTCTCCAAAAGTGGGAAATTATAGTCATATTTGACAATAATTTGTGTTTAGATTCACATGCTCAGAAATTATGCGAGCCAATCACATGGGAGCATCATTCGATGATTGTTAACTTGTCTCGTCCAGTAATCTGTTGGTACACTGTATTTGCTCTATTAGTGGCGCATGAGCTTACTTAAACAGCTGAGGTGTGTTTGGTCAAATAAATAATATTTTCATAAATCATTATACAATAAATGCAATTATCTGGCTTACATTGGAGATGCACTGTTAATAGAGCAAATACAGCCATTGTAGCTGCCAATCGTTTACTATTAATTTACTTGTATTCGTTTGTAGTCTTTACTACGCATATGTAAGTTTAGCAAGATGGTCACAGCGCCCTCTGTGTGCTGTATGAATATTTGAAGGAAACAATTACAAACACACACAGGAAGTTAGAGAAAACTGCTTAATCACGGCTTTGATGGTAGATTTCCTACAGGCGGATAGAGCTATTTACGAGGATTAACAGGGTTAACATAGTCTACAGAGTTTTGTCTGGTTTACAAGTTCTCTGGATGTTTGTATTGTTGGTTGCTGACAGTTCTGTAATTTGATGTTGGACAGCGTGAGTATTAAAGACATTTTAATTGTACTGCGTCATTGCTTCCTTGTGTAGGTGCGTCATAATTGCTCCTGTCGCCTCGTATTATTGATCCGGAACTCCCCTTCTTAGACTTAGTTGACTCCCGTATCCTTTGTTTGAATACTGTATCCGAAAGGCTCTGAGGGTGTAATCATTATCTACCATCGCTTTAAGTTCAGAAATTGCGCTCACAGCCATCTACTAAATCTGTCAAATATAGCCGTCTACTAAATCGATCAAATACGGCCATCTACTAAATCTGTCAAATACGGCCATCTACTAAATCTATCAAATACAACCATCTACTAATTCTGTCAAATACGGCTATCTACTAAATCGGTCAAATACAGCCATCTACTAAATCTGTCAAATACGACTATCTACTAAATCGGTCAAATACGGCCATCTACTAAATCGGTCAAATACGGCCGTCTACTAAATCGGTCAAATACAGCCATCTACTAAATCTGTCAAATACGGCCATCTACTAAATCGGTCAAATACAGCCATCTACTAAATCGGTCAAATACAGCCATCTACTAAATCGGTCAAATACGACCATCTACTAAATCGGTCAAATACGTCCATCTACTAAATCGGTCAAATACTGCCATCTACTAAATCGGTCAAATACGGCCATCTACTAAATCGGTCAAATACGGCCATCTACTAAATTGGTCAAATACGGCCATCTACTAAATCGGTCAAATACGGCCATCTATTAAAACGGTGAAATACGGCCATCTATTAAATCGGTCAAATACGGCCATCTACTAAATCGGTCAAATACGGCCATCTACTAAATCGGTCAAATACGACCATCTACTAAATCGGTCAAATACGGCCATCTACTAAATCGGTCAAATACGGCCATCTACTAAATCGGTCAAATACGGCCATCTACTAAATCGGTCAAATACGGCCATCTACTAAATCGGTCAAATACGGCCATCTACTAAATCGGTCAAATACAGCCATCTACTAAATCGGTCAAATACGGCCATCTACTAAATCGGTCAAATACAGCCATCTACTAAATCGGTCAAATACAGCCATCTACTAAATCGGTCAAATACAGCCATCTACTAAATCGGTCAAATACAGCCATCTACTAAATCGGTCAAATACAGCCATCTACTAAATCGGTCAAATACGGCCATCTACTAAATCGGTCAAATACAGCCATCTACTAAATCGGTCAAATACGGCCATCTACTAAATCGGTCAAATACGGCCATCTACTAAATCGGTCAATTCAAAATAAGCTGCAATAAAATATTCTGATTAAAATTACAGTACGTTTTTGACCATGCTGAAAATGAAGTTTTTAGGCAAAATTAGAATAAATTTTGTCTATAACTTGCATTCCCTCTAGCTACCCATGTGTTGGTTTCATTACTAATCTCAGTTTAAGGTGTTACATTGTTTGTTAAAGTTATCTACTAGTATGTGTTTATAGCTGTGGGTTTATTAAAAAATAAAACCATAAAGTAAAAGTCAAATATGCAACATGTATCAATTTTTTTTTTCTGGATTGCCTCAAAGTTGAGGTTGTGATATTTTCTCGACTTCCGCTTTTTTCACTGGCTCGACCTTTGTTCCACACCAGTTCACACAGAGCCCATAGAAATACATGGTACAGTGGTGTGCGTCTTAGTAACGTGGAATGTTCTGTGGCGTGGCTCCACTTCAAAGAATAACCCGGAACTAAAACATTGTATTTAAATCTTATATTTGTTATCAACAGGGTCCAGACAGACTGACAAATCCCAGTAGGCAGGTGAGTTACTTGTTTATCCTTATTTTTAGAACCAAATTTGTGTTGTGTGTTTACACTGTGGTAATGAAAATTTATTTTTTTCCATATTTTATCTTGTTACAAATCACAGAATTAAATATATTAAACTATGAATATTGCGACAATGATTGTCAGCAAAAATTCAGTTTAACCCTTACCCTGCCAGCCCTATGTAGTTTTACATTGACTTGACCAGATGAGGGTTAAGATATTGACATATTCAGTAATTTGTGTGCTTATAATAAATGCTACAGCTGTGGTATTCGTAAGATATCAGCCTTGTCGATAGTCAAATCTCACCAAGCATGTCATTAGGTTCCAGCTGAGTTGGAGCGGAGGATGAAAGAGATGGAGTCCCAGTCCCAAATTGTAGAAACCTGTATGGTTTGTGTCTTGTCAATTATTTTAGCAAAAAAAAAATTGCCTCGCCTCATTGCCCCGTTTAAAGAAAATAATTTGACAAGAACTCAGCTAAAATATTTTTAAATTCAAGGCCGATATTGTAGCAGCATCAAGAAAATACTTTTAATTTCACAAGAGATAAATGACTGCTAGTATCAAGTTGATGTAACTTGTTGTTCTTTCTCTTTGTCCTCAGTCAGATGCAAGAAGGCAGTTAGATAATAGTTATAAGGAGCGGGAACGTGTCCATAGAAAAATTAGTGTCCATAGAAAAATGGAACTAAGGCAAGCAGAACAACAGTTACAGAGGGTGGATGAACAAAGGAAAACTAGCGAAGAAAAGGTATGATCCATACATTGCATTTGTGGAGAATGTTTGTTGGATGTCACAGAGGCATATATGTGCATCTTTTTTTCTTGTTTACTAATTATTCTCACCTTTACATCACTGTACCTCATTCACCGCACGGTATGCATAAGTTTAAAGGGTGGCAGTCGTCGTGCCGCGTTCTGTTCGATATGGGACTCATAGCGACGTATACAACGCGTGTAAAATACATTGTTTATTTACATGAAATTCGAACACCGCTGCGCAACGACCACCACGCTTTAAAAAAGTTCAACGTTAACACATAGCATGTACAACCAGCTAATTTTGAATTTAAATGACAATAAATATACAAACTCAAGTTGAACTGTTATCTCATGTTGTGGACTGCAAATCTTTTATCAATACTGTGTGTGTCTGCAACTATTTTTTGAATACAAAACAATATTGTCAGGAGTGAGGTAACTCGTGTACTGGTGTTCTACTATTTTGACTATGCCAGTATTGCTGATTATTAAATTAAATGTACACATGTGTTTTCTGGTTAATAAAAACAATCTGTGGGTTTAGTATCGTCACAGGAAATCATGAGTAGCTGTGTACCAGTACGTAATTTTTCATCACACACACATAAAGCTTTGTAGCCAAAACGTAAATAGTGCATCGGTCTGAAGGGAAATAAACTTAATAACACATTTTTTAAAATTTCAGGTGAAGCAGTTGACTTTACAGCTGGAACAAGAGGCGCAGAGAAGGACTTTAATAACTAACGACTACAAGAGTGTATCACAAGAAGTTGCCAAACTTAGGTTATCTGAGAAACAGTACAAGAAGGAACAAACTGAATTGAAAGAGTTACTGAAGAGCCAAGATGAAAAAGTCGAGAAAATCAAACAGTAAGTTATAATAATAAGTTTTTCAACATTTTAACCTTTCCGTCGCTAGTTCTCTCTTTTCATCACAAATTCACAAAACAGTTCTGTCTGCACTTTCTTTCAGAAGATTGGGACAAAAATAGCCAATTGACTCATCCTCTGAAACAGAAAACAAAACTTGTGGCGCACTTCACCGAACGCAAAATTGCACCTTTAAAAAAATGCCTCAAGAAAGCTTTGTACGAGAACGCAATCCAAATGGTGTATTTTGTTGGTCTATTGCTATGCAAGCCCTCAAAATTTGGGTAAAATGTGTAAACTTTATTTAAAAAACACACATTTTATGTTTGGGAATTTTCTACCTAATGTTTTCATCATTAGTCCCCGTTCGGACGCAGTCCGAAAACGGGGACTTATGTTTTGCCCTGTGTGCGTCCGTGCGTCCGTGCGTCCGTGCGTCCGTGATCACCTGTATCTTGAACATGCATGGACCGATTAAGTTCAAACTTCACTCATACATCACACCTTATATGGGACATATGCACATGCATTTTTTTCATGATCCGATTAACGATAGCCGAATAGCGGCCATTTTAAGGCCGAAAATGCATCAAAATCGCACATTTTCACCATTCCGGACCCGGATCTCAGTTATGCATGGACGGATTTTGTTCAATTTGGTACATACATTAAACA